TAATAATAATAACGAGCCGCAATCGTTACACGGTTTGCAGTGTTCGTGTTCCAGTAATAATGTATACGTACATAATATATAGGCGAATAAAAAAAAAAAAAAAAGAAAAGAAAAGAAAAGAAAGAAATGTTTGTTTTTCCCCTAAAACGAATAACATATACGATGAGTATAGGTACACGCAGTATATAACTAACTTCGTAATAAAAACAGATTACGTAAGTCAAAACTTTGATTTGCCCTAGTTTGGTCGGTGATTTGTGTATAATACGATAGTTTACAATATAATACGTAAATAAATATATATATATATATATTTACTGACATCAAAACTCGATTAACAAAAAATTAGTTTGTAAAACTTGATGATGCGCGTGACGGAAGGGTTAAATGTGTATATGCTAAATATCGCTCAATTTTCAACACGGGATGATAGTATACAATACGGTCGTCAAATGGTATTTAAGTCGGTGGTGGATACTGGGAGAGCTCTGAGTTGCTGTTCCAAAATTGTACGTGGGTGGCAGGAAAGCCAGAGAAAAAAAATTGCCGGAAAAAACGCGGTGATGGTCTGAATATGGCCTAAACTTAATGTGTTCAGAAATCAATTGTATACATATAATAGTTTTAGAATACAGCTAAGCTAATGTTAATTGCCAAGATTTTGAGCGATTTGATGTGTGTGGGTGGTTTACTAGTCTAATTACGTTTAAGTTTCTTGATACTTTCTTAACAAATGGGAAAAATCGGTAGAAAACGTCGGAAAACGGAATATTTACATGATATCGATTTCTGGTACTTTCGATTTGGTTTTTTTTTGTTGTAATTAAGTTAAAACTAATTATAGACACTGTACAATGTCATCGATTACATTTATATTAGCAATTACTAGACGTGGTAAAATGTTTTAAATTTGACATTTTTTGTGTTATTTACAGCTATTTGAAATTTTTAGAATTTGTTCGGTTACATTTTGTTTTATTTTCGTGACTATCCCATGTGGACTAATTTGATTAAAACATTTAAAAAACTATAGAAAATTAATTCATAGTTGGTCGAATTAATAATTAACGTGTAATTTACTGAAATGAATTTGTCGACTATTTTTGCTTATAGTTGCAATAGTTAATCTTTTTATATTTTTAGGCATATCAAACAATTATCTCGCAGAGTATAGGTACAATGTACAGTTATGTACCTGTAAAAACACTGAACGATATTTGGATTATTATAAAATTATTTTCCAACGTAAAGCAACGTCTAACTAAATCTCGAAACTAATTTGGGATTTCGAAATATTCTCAGAAAAATAATTTACCACTCTTCAGTGATAAAAAAAAAAAAAAACTACAAGCAATAACTACAAGCATTTAAAAAAAATAATTATATATATATATATATATATAATTATTTTATATATATATACGCATAAAATGGGTAACCGGATTTCTTATAATTAAAACTGATTTAAAAAAAGTTGTTTGGCCTTTAAAAAATCTAAATTAAGTATAACATAAAATGTGCAATAACTATTAGGGAATATTTTAAAAGTAATTTAAAATGTACAAAAACGTTTTCAATATTCATCATTTTCATTAAGTAAATTAATTTTTAACGAGTAAATTTTTCAATGCAGTAAATTTAATTTTCAAATACAAAAAAACATATTACTACACAACAAATACGAAAAAAAAAAAAAAAAAAACACCAGCTTGCGATTTAATAACGGACCCTATTCTAAGAAACCCGTCGACAAAACCAATCACAAACACGACTAAACTTTTCAACGTGCTCTCCTAAATCCCGCATACATACCTACTTCCCAAATGAATTGAAAAAACATCAATCACGATGATTAAAAAACCACGAAAAGGCAACGCAAACCTCCCAAACGTTATTGATAAATTACAAATAGTTTTTTTTTTTTTTTTTATTACTTAATATATTTCTATAGAAATGGTTCGAAAAATGAACTACATTTTATAATTATTGAAAATGTCTCTCGTCAAAAATCCGATTTTAAATCAAATAACCGTTTCCAGAACGAGTAATAATTTATTGTGCCAAACTCGTTTTATCAATAAAGTTTGTGTATTTCACTATAGCGCGGTGTCGAACAAGAAACGTGATTGTTTGTTCAAAACACCACTCTATACATTATAATGAATTCCAAAATACCCATCATCGTCTCGGAGAACACAAACATAAAGTTTCTTCGCTAAATTATTACACAACTCGCGCGTGAAGTTTTACAATCCAATCGACCATCCATCGCGAAGTGACACGGACTATGCGTTGTCGGACGACACTGCGTAATTCAAATGGAAATTGAATGATGAATTTCATAGGGAAAATGTAATAAACACGTAAAATGTTATTCGCGCATTACAATATAGCTTTGGCCCCAGGTAGTAGCGTAGCTGGAAATCTCTCAACGGGAGGAGGGGTTCAATATACAAAATATCATCAATAATACATTATAATTATAGGGCCCGGAAGTTTATGCGTTTGCAAATTTTTACTGACTATACGAAAAAGTTTCTAGATAAGCTACAAATTTGTATTACAGTCTAACGAGGTCAAAAATGAAATATTATTTCTATCAAGAATATGAATAGTCAATTAATTTTTATCCCACAGCCAACAGCCGTTGCACGTTTAGAAACTCGATAAATACCTAAATCGTTGAAAATATCAAAAATAAATCGTAAAAAATCAAGAAATTAAAATTACAAAAGGATTGATAATTTACAATAAACATGAACAAGTCATCATGAAAAAACGAGGGTTTTAAGACATTGTTCAAAATTTTCAAAATCATATCAGGAGAAGAAATTGACTTTCCAGAAGTTATTAAAATTAATGATTTTATACATTTCATCAGTGGATGTAGAACGGCGCTTTTCTGTTTTAAAAATAAAAAAAACATGTAAACCAACCGATAACCGCCATTCATTTATACTTGAAAATCAGTCGAAATCTCTAGTTGTAAACACCAAACTATAATTATTGAGGTAAATAACAAAATTCAAAATATTTCGCGTTAATAAAATTGTGCAAGTATATTATTATGCACAAAAAAAAAAAAAAAAAATCAACGCATATTTTTGATAGATTTTAGTGCTTGAACTTCCAGGCTCTAATTATAATATTATATAATATGCGTGAGTATTATTATGTAAATAAACACGGATACCAAAACAGTGGTTTGGGCCCCTCAAACCCCCCCCCTAAATATGGCACGGGTCGATTTGAGCGTTTTTCTATAATTTTGTCTTGCTTAATTTTCTTACCTTATTTTTTGGTATAAATATATGTATAATATGCATTCTAATACATACGTGTTGATTTTTATTATAAAATATGTTATAGGTAGGTGCTGAAAATTGAAATAACCAAAGTAGGTAACTGTGAAATACATTTTATTTTACAAAAAGACATAATTCGTGTAATTATATGACTTTCAAACCATTTAGAACGCCGTGTTTTGGATATGTCATTTGGCACTTCGGAAATTTAGTAATTATTCCGTTATGCCATTAAGCAATTTTAAAAATGTAATTTGCTTGTATTAAAAACTATACGAAATTGACTTAAGCTCTTTTTCCCCGGGATTTAAGATAAGCGTACTAAAATGCAAAATATTTGCATATTTATTACTACGCGTATTACTACTGCCATTACGTTATAAATGTTAAAATACTTCACAAATATACACGAACCAAATTGAAGACCAAACGTTTTCATCACTTTGTATTTCGTCTCATTACTGAACAACACCGTACATCGGTATAACTGCATAATATTATACTTGAAAAATAACGAATTCTTGTTTGCAGAGGAGTCAAAAATACCAACTTAAGTGATGCCTGAAAGGTGGGGAGACGCAGTAGGTATAAGGATGTTCCATTTTCACGTGAAAAGCGTCTCTTGATAAATATTTTTTAAACAATTATGCAGGAACTCTCGAAACTGTGAGATAAAAGACGAAGCGCCGTTTCAACTTTCAAAATGTTATATGCATACCAAACATTTTGTTTTGCCGTCTATATGAAGTTATTTTATAAAGTGATATGTTTATTTTCAACAGGTATAAAAATGTGAAAAACATACTTTAAAAATAAAAAAAATAATAATAATAAATATGATATTTTAATATAGTATTAAAAAACTGTTTTGTTGTTACCATACCTACATTATTTTAAATTCTATACGTGTCGAAGAATGTATCGGTTTTACTACGATGCGTGTTTTTCTTTTTCTACGTTTGAACAACTTTTCAACCGAAACTCTTGCTCCTATTCGTATCTACTCGGAAAATTATGTCTGTTTGGTGCATTTAGGAGGTTATTTTTGATTTTATCTGTAAATTTCGATAATTTTTGTTGGCTGTATCTCAGATAATTTTTAAGATAAAAAAAAAAAAAATAAAGAGCTATTCGAATTTAGTGTCAAAAAGTATAAGTTACCGTTCTAATTTGTATTGTGCATACCCGCACCGAAAGTCGTTTTCTAATGGCTAATGAGCTGCGTATTGTTACTGTTTATCAATCAAAAATAATTTGTTAGGCAAATATTATGTGAACAGTGTGTTATCCTTGTTCCCGCAATGTCCTTTTTCCTATAAGGGTACGGGGTGGTACGTTAAATGGTGGTATAATTGAAATGTTGAAATTAATTTTTAAATTGTTCAACACTGGAGACAATTTGAAAACCGGCCACCGGGCGATATCGTCTCCCTTAAATGTAATTCAAATCCAAGATCATCCAACCGAAATATTTAGGGTTATCTGGAAACGCAAACGCACTGTAATATATATATAAATACGTATACAAAAAAAAAAAAAAAAAACACCTCAAAATCGAATTTCATACGGTCCCGCGGTTCGCGTATCTATAGAACACAAT